GAAGCACATCGATTCCTATCAAGGTTGTGAGTCAGCAGTGTCTGTGGAGGTCATTGGTGACTTACAAGGAGGGTTTTCGTTTGGGATCAATCAGTAAAGCACCACTATAGAGCGATGTAGTAAAATTAGACAGAATTTTAAACTAAGATTATGTGGAAACACAATGAAGCTTGGAGGGCTATTAGTTATCAATGGCCTGCAGACGAAGGTTATAACAACCCTGTTAAAACGCTTGGTTAGCAATGACCTGTGGGTTGGCCTTCTCTGAGAATCAACTCATAGGACTTCATCATTATGGGGCAGTGAGGTAAATTTGAATAAATTTTAAAAATAAAATCATATCACCAAAGATGTCGGTTACTGATGACATATAGTTTAATTACCGGCTACTAAATATAGTTACTAGTGGTCTATCCATTAGGGTCAGTGGTTGGAGGTAGTGCAGTAAAGTTTGATAAACTGCTGAAACTAAAAATTCAGCAGGGTAGAGAAGTGCAATGTTGCTACATTGGCCACATTTGCTAAAGCACGCCATGCGTAATGTTACTCTCCAAAATTTTTAGAAAGACTCCACTTAAGAGATTTCTAACGTACAAAAATATTAATTTATTTTAAAGAAGCTGAGCCGAACCAATCATGAGCGTGAATCAAAATAATAATTATATACCTATGTAAGGATTATGTTAATTTTATTAACAGTTAAATTTTAAGTTCCTTTCCTGTCAAATTCTTAACTTCAACTTACTACTTCCGGCCAGAACGTAGTTTTGGAATCACTCTGAATACTTAATGAGGAGGAGCGGTATTTAAACCGGAAAGTATACTTGCTGAGTTAGAGAGAATCAGAGTTTTTGATTTCGTCTGCCTCTTGGCTACTCTCTCTCAAGGCTGTTATTACGCTCAGCCGTACTCAGGCGCTTGATAAGCTTCGTAGTCAAATAGAGTTAAGGGGCCAACTAGATTAGAATCTTGATAGCTTCAGCTATATCTCTTTAGTTAATCTTAGTTTTAGTTTGTTTTTTTAGTCTCTTAAGTTCAAGCCCAAGTGTCGGCTTTGACTGTACACTCCAAGATGGAGTTTTGTTAAATCTTACTAGAATAATAAAGGGTTAGTTACCCTTTCATCTTGTTGTTTCTTGTCACATGAACTTAAGCGATTATTCGCTAACTAGTTCTTAAGTTTACTCACTTTTGACTGCAATTACACAGTGGTAAACTTTACACCACGTTAAAGGAACATCTTTAATACTCAACTACTGAAAGAACACAAGGAAAATTTCTAAAATACGTAGACGGATCCCCAAAAAAGGTTACAAGCATCATTACAAGCAAAGGTTAAAAGCATTTGTGGAGGGAATGCTTTATCCACAGAATGTAGACAGATGGCGGTAGTTGTCTAGCAGTGGTTGAGCGGATACGTAGAGTAAGTTCGCAGGCGTGTCAGAGCGATTGAAATTGCAGGGCGTTTAGAAAAGTGGTCTCGCCTGGACATGTGAGCCGTGATTTGTTACCCTGATAGAGTATCTGAAGAATAGCCATATCGTTACTGCCGAACGTTATTATGCCACTTTCACAAGATTACGTGAAGCCATTCGAACCAAGTGCCATGGCATGTTGAGTGATGGTGTCATCCTCCTGCATGATATTGTCCGGTCCCGTATCGCTCGCCAAACTCAAGAATTGCTGCAAAAGTTTAAGTGAGAAGTCTTGAGTCAGCTCCCGTACTGTGATTCTCTTCAGAGCGTGATGTGAAAACAGTAACCAAGAACTGTCTCAATAGGCAGGGAGGTGATTTCTACCAAGACGGGTTAAACACGTTGGTCCTACGTTCAGATAAATGCCTAAATAGATTTGACGATTTTGTGGAAAACTTATAGGCAAGAATGCCTCTTAATTTCTTTCTATACTTTTGTCTATTATTAATAAACAATTTTTATCCCCCCCCTGTAATCTTTTTTTGGATCTACCCTCGTATTTCAGAAGGTTTATTATCATTCGTGTACTTGGTCACATAACTTAATAATAAGCAAATAACAACACAAATCCAAACATTTCTTCCTTTTTTTTTTGTTTACATTAAATTAACTGTTACATAAAAATGCTATGTAAAAGTAAAAAACGCAAAGAACGTAAAGAAGTGCGTTAATTAAATACTTAATTTAACTCCTATTTTTAAAAAATGGTGTAGCTGAAAGAACATTGTAGTGTTTTGGGAGCATAAACTGTAGATCCTACAGGGACATGAAGTAGTGAATTCTTGCTAGGTCTTGAAAAGAAGACTGCAGACTAAGGTTATAACAACCTTTTTATTTTAACAAAACATAACAGAAAATACTCACCCACGGTGCTCATTTCAACCACCACTTGTGGCTAAGTAACTTGAACACAAAATAGTATCTGCGGTCACAATGAATTAAATTTTAGCTATGTGACTGGCTCCTACTTAATCTAAACCTCTTAATCGGCTGCATACGGCAAAGCCGAGCCTTGAATATCAATATAATCTAAACTAAGTGGCTGCCACCAACCCAGAGCTACTTTCAAACACGTGGGGCATAAATTCAGAACTAACTCTCCAACCGCGAACTCTTAACTTTTGCTACTTAAATACTATTTCCGAACTCATTTAGATTTGCATATACGTCATTTAAATTTGCATTTTGGCAGAAATTTGAAATCAGAGGGGAAAAGAAAGTTTTTTTACAATAAAAATAATTGATTAAGAACAAAATAAGGTCTTTACAAAATAAGCTCTTCAGAAGTTTAGAGAAAAAAATTACAATATATTTGAGTTAATTAAAATGATAATGAGTGAATTCATTTTAAAAGAAAACAGTCTTTTCGAATTAATTGAAAAACAAAATGTGATTTTGTTTTGAAAGAATTGTCATTTTCAATAGATTGAGTTTTTCAATCTTGTTTTATCATATATAATTGGTTAGATTCTTGATTTGCCTTAAAGAATCTAAAGATAACCATTTTTGATGTAAAAACCAAAATAGTATTACTGAATATTACTGAAGTACCTCTTGGTCTGAAATTCAAGCAAAGTTTCTTTTATCCTGTATAAAATATAAAGATGTAAAATTAATGATGGTTGATGATGATAATAGAATATAACTCCTGGATATAACAAGTTTTTATGTTTTTAAATGGCGTAATTACTGTCTAAAAAAAGCTCATGCGAGTTAATTTTGCTGCACACGTCAGGAGTCAAAGCTTCTGAATCTAAGAAATATAACGATAAATTTTTCCTCCTTCCTCGGTCTCTTTTTTTTTCCTTCTATCTTCAAACCAGTGATGCATAAGAATTTGCAATCCGAAAATTACTATCCGGTTAGCCTAAGTGCATCAAATTAAATTAAAATATAGCTTTAAATAATTACTTTTTACAAAGATGTTTCAGGTGTTTTTTTTTCATATTAACTACAATGTACAGGGTGTCCATAATTAAACTTGAAATTTGCGAGCAGTCTGTAGCAAAAACTATACTGCAGAATTGCATGAAAACTGTGTAATGGCAGAATGAAATGCTGGAAATTTTATTGAGGGGGAAAAACAATGAGTTTCAAAAACCACCCCTAAGTGGCATATCATAGCTTTATTGAGAACATATAAATAATCTACAAAAGTTTACAAAACATGCTCGATATGATGTCCACAATTGTCTGCTACCATCTGGAAGCGTAAATTCGCATGATATGGTTCAAGCATCCCGGTCAATGGTAATTTTTAACCCGGTTATTTGTTAACCATTAAAAAATGTCAAATATCATAGTTTCAACAATGAACATCACAGATTTAAAATAGAGATCTCGACTTTACCAGATGAATATCTTTTATGATTGCTTACGAGCAGGAATATCATCATACTCTTAATTATGAAGCAATGGCCTATGAAATGCAATGCGAAATATAACTTTGACTTGACGAATTACACTTTTATAAAGAATTTTGGTTTACAACGAATTGTAAACCCAAGAATTGATAAACTTTTGTCTGTACTACTCAGGAATTATTTATTTTACGTAAGAACATAAACAATGATTTTTATAGCTTAAAATTATATTTTTGAATAATATTTTTGTATATTATGCATATTATTAACTATCGTAATGTATAAATTTACTTTGAAAAATTAAATGTACCTGCTACCTTTGTGTACTTAAGAGCATATTCCAGAATGTGCTCTTAAGTACACAAAGGTTGGGAACTCTGTTCTGAGAATTCAGTGTAGACTAAAGCTAGGAAAAAGAGATAGAATGGAGTAGAACAGTTTGTGGGACCCTTGTATTTTACAATTTAATTTATTTGTATAATTGTTATTATTATATTACATATTATACACGTTCTCCAAACCTCACATTCACTGAGTACATCCTACGATTGGGATGACAAGAAACTAACCCACCACCACTTGACTGCAACTACGACTGATGAAACTTTGGCATAGAGTTGAAGCCGCATGGAATGAAGGACCCCTATCTCTCATCCTAGCTCAGTTTGACTAGATGCTCAGCCAGACTACACCCGTCGTTATTGCCAGAGGTGGCAACTCCTGTCTACTGAATTCTGTATACCGTGTTGTAACCCAACCATCTGGAAATTTAATCGTGTATGCCTCCCATTATATTGCATATTGTACAATTTGTTGTACATTTTGTTATTTGCTTTCCTTCCTGGTATAGCAATTTTAATGGCCACCGGTATATTTGGATCCTGTCACAGGTTACTATTCTTATAAATTTACTCATGAAATTTGACTTCCACGGTTGATCTTCCATTTTTTTTTAATATCATAATTTTTACATTTGAATTTCTTATTTTACTTAAACGCCTAAGATAATTTCTACCCGATAATTTTTATATAGATAACTTGGAATAATATTTAGGAACATGAACAACTTTACAATGTACATAGCATGAACAGCGTTACAATGTATATAGACACAAAAATAAAGAATGCCGAATGAAATTAATTAAAAATTATCAAAGCAAAATATGAAGAAACAGGTTTATTGATATTTGTTAATTTAAACAATTATACAAACAAAACACTTTTGGAATACAGTTTAGCACCAAAGTGCGTATTCATGATAAGTAACTCTTATATCATTGGAAAACAGTCATCTGAGAATGCGCTCTTCGAAAACTGCGTTCTTAGAAGTTAATTTAACTAACAATTTAATTCTGAAAAGCTAGGTTTTCGTCTTCGTATATATCAAATATATATAGTGTAAGTCCGAAATTTCTCAGTTTCATAGTTCCAGTTATGTTGTAAACTCGTAAAAAACCAGTTCGAGGTTTGCATTAAATTTTTTGTAAGGTTTCAAGCTTCAGCAAATTATCATCAAGTACTTCAGGAGAATCATTATTTCTGTCGTTCTTTCTGATGTATTTCAGAATCTGCTGAGCACTGAGAAATAAAATAGCAGACAGAGAACTTATGATACTGCCATAAAAGAAAGTGTTACGGGTTCCCAATATGTCGACAGCTTGACCTCCTATAAGACTTCCCAATCCGATACCTGGAAATAAATTTCAATAACATGTTGTTTTAGAACTAGTATGTAGAAATATGATTTTTAAGTCAATTAGTTCCAGTTATTCGGGTTTCGATTCATCGAGATGATAAACAGGTTATTTGAGAGTTAAATAGAACATTGGTTGACGTGTAAGAGAGAGATTTAGATAATATAATCAAAACAAAAGGAATCCAACATTCATATCAGCTGTTTTTTTATCTTCAATATTGTTACGAAATGTAAAGGCACGGTAAGATAGCTTCCCCGCAAAGCAGTTTTAGGGTTGACATAAAATGGCAAGGGATGGCAGGGCTGCCACATTTGGCGAGAAATCGCCCATTTAGCGACAAAACTGGCGTTATACCAGGGACGGATGGAGAAAGCTATATAAATCTTGCTGGCCTGCAGTCAGTTAGTGTGCCTCGTCTAGAAAGCGAGTGTGAGATAGTGTATCCCATCTAGTTAGTCCGCGCGCAGAATGATCGAGTTGACAGCCGGCTAGCGAGTGCCGAGTGAGTCGTCGAGTGCATCGAAGAGTCTCTTAGTGTATTGTGGTTAGTGCATCGTCGAGAGTGTGTATTAAGCTCCGGAAAGGACTGAACCGAAGATTCGGGAGCTGTGCTCTGTGTATCGCAGTTAGTGCATCGTCGAGAGGGTGTGTTAAGCTCCGGAAACGACTGAACCGAAGAGTCGGGAACTGTGCTCTGTGTGTCTTTGAGTGCATCGCAAGTTGTAGCGTGGAGAGTCTCGAGAGTACGTGGAGTTCCGAAAACGACCGAGCAAAGTCGGGAGCTGTGCTCTGGTGCTTTGCAAGTGAAGCTGTCTCCACCGTTATTGTCTGACAGTGTGAAGGCTCTGTCGCTGATTGTTCCAGCGTGTTTATAGTAAATCTTCGACGACTGTAAAAAGTGACTTTGGGGCTGTCCTGATTAATACCGGCCAATAAAGTGTGCTTCGATATCCCATCAAGTGTCGTCGTCATTCACTCCAAATCCACACGAAACCCGTACGAACGTGAAGGAAGAAAATAATGTAACAACTGGTGTCAGAAGAAAACGTAACACCTGGTGTCAGAAGTGGGATTTGAGGGTGAATGCCAGTGACAAGACTAATGGAAGATCTATTAAGACAGCTCGTGACTGCCTTTGCTGAATTCCAAGTAAAGATGGAAGCCCGACAGGAGAAGTTGAAAGCTGGATATGAGATAAAAGCCGGATATGATGAGATAAAGGCTGGATATAAAGGGATAAAAGCTGGATATAAAGAGATGACAGCTGAGATCAAAGCCGGACTAGAAGAGAAGAAAGGCCGAAGAGAAGAGATAAATGTCGGCCAAGAAAATGTGCGAGAACAACTCCAACAGGTGAAAGTGGATCTTACAGAAGAAACATCAGCCATAAAAGACGATGTGGAAAGGAGCGACGTGGCATCGGAAGAATCAAAGGATGAAGAAAAGAAGGAAGTAAAGAATGAAGCTAATGAATTGTCTGAGAAAGATCAAGAAATTAAGGATGAAACATCTAACGGGATTAAAGAAAAAAGAACGAAAACATGAAGAAATAAAAGGCGGGAAAGAAGCTTTTCATTCTCAAGTGCCTGAAGTGGAAGTGGAAGAAAGTGAAAATATGACTGTCAAGTTAGTAGAAACTGATAGTGAAGTTATGGAGTCGCAGTTAGCAAGTATTGAACCATCTGAAAGTTCATGTGATGCTGAGATGGAAGAAGCTGATGTACAACTTATGCAGAGTGCTCCAGTATTGCAAACAAATTCACCGACTTCGCAACTATGTGTGTGCCTCATAGTGCAGGTTGTGCAGACATGGATTTGATTCTAAACCAGGATATTTCTTACGGGTAAAGAATTTGATTCTGCTCATAACTCTAATGTAAACATCGGAAATGGTTTTCAGGAAATAGAGGTAAAACGGCATGTACCAGCTGCTGAAAATACCAAGATGAACTGTATGCATGCTGCGAATGAACTACAAAGTGGTGAACAAACTGTCTCAGATCTTCCTGTGGATGATAAGTCTAAAAGGACTAATCTTCAGACTGTGATATGCAAAACAGAAATACATCTGATAACTGCAGTGGAAAAGTATTTGACCCGAGTATATTTTAAAGAAAAGACTGAGACTGAAATTTATTCTGAACTTTAATTTGTATAATTTAAAATGTGTTTAATTTGTGTATATAACTTGTACATAGTGTAAATTACTGTTTCTTTAGTTACTTTATTTGTTTGGGTTGTTACTTTATTTGTTTATTTGTTTGTTTAGTTACTTTATTTGTTTATTTGTTTGTTTAGTTACTTTATTTGTTTGGGTTGTTTATTTGTTACCTTTTGATTGTATCAAATTTGACTTCTGATCAAGGGTTGTACTGCTCGGGACGTTCAGTCCTTGGGAGGGAACAGTGTTACGAAATGTACAGGCACGGTAAGATAGCTTCCCTGCAAAGCAGTTTTAGGGTTGCCATAAAATGGCAAGGGAAGGCAGGGCTGCCACAATTGGCGAGAAATCGTTCATTTGGCGACAAAATTGGCGATACACCATGGAAGAATGAAGAACTTTTTGGAACGAATTCTTACCGGTTTAGCCCAGAATGTTCTCGAACACAAGCCGAAAGCTATATAAACCCTGTTGGCCTGCATTCAGTTAGTGTGCCTCGTCTAGAGTGCGAGATAGTGTGTCTCATCTAGTTAGTCCGTGCGGAGACGATCGAGTTGACAGCCGGCTAGCGAGTGCCGAGTGGGTCGTCGGTGCATCGAAGAGTCTCTTAGTGCATCGCGGTTAGTGCTCTGTCGAGAGAGTGTGTTAAGCTCCGGAAACGACTGAACCGAAGAGTCGGAAACTGTGCTCTGTGTGTCGTTGAGTGCATCGCGGGTTGTAGCGTGGAGAGTCTCGAGAGTCCGTGGAGTTCCGAGAACGACCGAGCAGAATCGAGAGCTGTACTCTGGTGTTTTTCAAGAGATGCTGTCTCGACGGATATTGCCTGATAGTGTGAAGGCTGTGTCGCTGATTGTTGCAGCGTGTTTAAAGTAGATCTTCGACGACTGTAAAAATGACTTTGGAGCTATCCCGATTAATACCGGCCAATAAAGTGTGTTTTGATATCCCATCAAGTGTCGTCGTCATTCACTCCAAATCCACATGAACCCCGTACGAACGTGAAGAAAGAAAATAATGTAACAACTGGTGTGAGAAGAAAACGTAACAGTATTTTCACTCAAACTATTTTGTTCCTAATAGTTTTTCGGCCCACCACCGGCCGAGCGGTAAAGTCGCTGAACACTGGTAGTTCGGTCCGAGGTTCGAATCCCGCGAATGGGCCGGCAGCATGGGCGTTTTCGTGGTTTTCCCCATGTGTAACGTGTATACGAGCCAGTTTCCCTTAGAAAGTCCTCCACGAAGGCATCTCTTCCCTTAGGCAGATAGCCCCTAGTGTGCTTTGCCATAATTAAATACACCACACCACCTAATAGTTTGTCCAAATCTCTCTTTCGGTGCATGTTAACCAGTTTTTAGCTTGACTTAAAAAATTACCAGTTTTTATCTTTCGATGAATCGAAAACGCAGCAAACAGTATCACTTGACTTTCCCTAAAGTTAGATTGGTTATGTAACAGAACATACACTGGTGTGCAAAAATTAAGGACGAAGTCGAAATTAGCATATCAGCTGAACGAAGAGGCAGAGCGGACAGAAAGACCAATCAGGAGATTAAGTAAGGTGATGTACGGTAGCACATGCGCAGATATGCAGATAGACGTAATGGGGGAGTGTCTCAGTAGTATAAAGCATGTTGTCGGTGTAAGATCAGCATTTCTGGCAAAGAGATTTCACGCCGTATAGCAGTTAAAATCACACCGAGTTGCTGCCTCAGCGAGAAATGGCGAATAATCAATCTGTTAGACGACATCTGGATGCTTTTACCCGAGGTCGAATCATTGGGAAGTTGGAGGAAGGCCGCATTGTGACAAGTGTGGCTGCAGAGTTCGGAATTGCTCACAGCATCGTTTCATGACTTTGGAGACAATTTCAAACTACAGGAACAGCTATCCGGGGGTTTAGTAGTGGTCGTCCACGAGGAACCACACCCGCAGATGACCGGTATATTGCCTTACAGGCCAGGAGAAACAGGCGGCAGACAGCGGGAGAAATCGCTAGACACACGACACAGGCGATTGGACGACCGATATCGCGTTTTACCGTGGTCAGACGACTGCACGGTGGTGGTCTGTTTGCACGACGCCCTGTACGGTGTGTACCTCTAGCGCCTGCCCATCGGAGAAGGCGTTCTTTGGGGTGCCGGGAACACCGGAATTAGAGAGACAATAAATGGGGACGAGTACTCTTTACAGATGAGAGCAGATTCAGTTTGAGTAGCGATTCTCATCGCATACTCATCTGGAGAGAGCGGGGAAGCCGCAATCATCCCTCGAACATCATTGAAAGGGACAGGTATGGAGGTGGCGGTGTTCTCGTTTGGGGAGGCATCATGCTTGGTAGTCGTAAATACCTTCACATCTTCGACGCAGGTTCAGTCAACGGGACCCGTTATTGTAACGAGATTCTTCTTCCATATGTGCGTCTTTTTAGAGGCGCTATGGGTCCGCAGTTCCTTTTCATGGACCACAATGCACCATGTCATCGCACAGTAGCTGCCGAACAGCTCTTAGAGAGTGAGGATATTGAACGTATGGATTGGCCGGCACGATCTCCGGATCTCAATTCCATCGAGCATGTATGGGACTTTCTAGGCAGACGCTTGGCAGCTCGTACCTTACCACCAGTAACGATTCCGGAGCTTCGATTGGCGCTGCAAGACGAATGGGCAGCAATGCCTCAACAACTCATTGACACCCTCATTCTCAGCATGGGCAGACGCTGTGAAACCTGCCTAGCAGTCAGGGGAGATCATATCCCCTATTAAAGACCGGATGTTTCGGTCTTCAGTCGCATTGCGCTCCATGCTACTTTTTCAATAAAGCTTCTTTTTATC